AACTGTAGTTAAGTTGTACGTGAAATAGTATGACAATGACTAGAAATATGTTGAGCTCATTTAAAATTTTTAAAAGCTAATAAAAGTGTTCTAGGCTTTGCTACTGTAAATATCTTTTTTTTTTTTTTTCATAATTTTAATGCCCATTACATCTTTCAGACATGTGAGTAAAAACATACCAGAAGATGTACCAGAAAATGACCTGTGTGAAAAAATGTGTAAAATTTTGAAAGAAGATAAAAAAGGTAAAAAACTATGATTACTCATTTCTGGATGGCACAGAAAAGGTTCTAAACCATCAAATCTGGATGAAAGACTATACCTTTGGATAAATTGAGAGAGACTTCCCTCTGATTTTGAAGTGTCCTTGTTTTTACATGTTCATGTATATGCCAAGTGTTCTTAAGTTTCCTTTGCACCGAAACAGGCAGAGATAGAGAAGAAACATGGGTGTATGCAGATAACATCTCTCAGATGTGATTCCCAGACCTCATTTTTTTCAGCAGCAGAGAACAGAGGGAATATAAAGAAAAAAAAATCTAACAACAACAATTATATACTAGATATGTCAGTTAAAAATGTATAACCATATGCTCTGTGGTAGAAGGTGTCCTGTAAATTTAATGAACAAACTTACTTACCTTTATAAATGAAGAGTAATGTTAAAACTCAGTGGGAAAATTAACAGACAAAAGAAAGAGAGAACAATATTCAAATAATTGAGTTATATATTTTCAGCTAAAACTACAAAATAAAACAATTTTACTTCAGCTTCATATTATGGACATTATTAGGCTCTTATATTGACCAGTACTTCCACATGGATTATGAACTCTACAATTATCTGTATATTGCATATTGTCTGTCTTTCCTCTAATTCAGTTATGTTTGGTAAGACCAACGGAGGTCTGCAAAATCTATAGGACGTTAGTGTATATACTATATAACCTGTTCTGTCCAACACATCACTGACCACTTTCTACTTAGAGCTTTTCAGACATGAGTACATATTTAACTGTAGATTTACTGCACGTATAATTTCACCTCTATTTATAGAACAGTGATTTATCATCTATCTCTCTCTTATATGACACACAGAGGGCGAAACAGCCTTCTGAAGAAAGGTTTCTAGGCACCCATTGTGAACCAGACATTACCTTCTTAACCTCTGTGATCCAGTCAGAGGTTTAGTTCCCTGCTTCCCCAAGCCACGTGGTGAAAATACATTACCTCTTATTATACGTGTGTGTGATTTTGCTTAAGTGCATGATGTTCTTGTCATAGGTGATAATGAATCTCTGAAAATGAGATTTTGTAGCCATATGAAGAGCAGACACACATCACATCCTTCCTGACTGAGGCATTTGATGTAGACAACCCTATATACTGATGAAACCATAGTTAATGTCTCAACCATCTGATAAAGAACTTCAGCAAAGGAAATGGTTTCTATGGAAATGACAGAGCTGTGCAGGTAATGGCAGGGAGGCGCGGAAAGAGGAGGGGTCCTGCGGATATGGGACCACATTTTTTGAAGGCTAAACTTCCCTATCTTGAGTAACCCTGTGAAGAGCTAATAAAGAAGCCATTTTCACAACATGTGCCAAAAGGAAAAGTCAAACAACCAAAAGGAAAGGTCACACCTGCAGGGAGTGGGGAGTAACTCCCCAATGTCCCCCAAGCCTACCGACTCTTTTTCCAGAAGAATCTGAAGGTACAAGCTGCTTGTGTACCAAAAGCAAGGAGAATTCTAGAAACATAAACTCTGCATGATGCCTAATTAGCCTAATGAGTCCAAGTGCCCACCTGTAGGATGGGCAAGGAATTATAAAAGAACCCAAGTCAAAGCCCTGGGTGGTTGCACCCCGCCAGAACTGGACCCCTTGACTGGCTGGACCAACAATGGAACAAGGACTGGTGAAATCTTCCTTTTTGTCTTTCTATTTTCCTCTCTCCCCTTTTCTCTCCCATCCTTATTCTGTATGCCCCCATATAAGGTAAGGTTGTCTGGGCATGTTTAAAGCTTATCGAGGTATGTTATAAGATCTGTCACTAGTCAGTATAAGTTTAATACCTGTTGCAGAGGTTGTAAAGATTATTGACAAAGTTCCATGACAATTATCTTCCATGAGAGCATAAAAATTGAGCTTTGCAAATTGAAGAATCCTTGGTGACATTTCACCTTAGTCCTGACTTGGGAATCTGCAAATTGGAGTCATCATCCCAAGAAATTGAGACGTGACATGTACTCTTGCTTTAGCACATCCTGTGGAGCTTTTCCTGTATCTGATTTTCCACATGGCTACAGTTATTTAGCTGAGAGAACATACAGGCATGATTCTTGTACCTTTTGGATTTTTATGACTATTGAAAGATTTCTGAACTTTGTAGGCTGAAGTATTTACAGAGAGAATGCAACTTGATTATGTGATAAATTAGATGGGTTTATGGGAATATAATTGAATGTAGGGTTTGTGGGGTTTTTTTAATAGGTCGGTGGAATAATTTATACTTTTAACTTTGGTAATACACAAGATTTACAAAATCTAATGTAATATTTAACTAGTATATTTGAATGTTAATCCACATACTTCTAAAGACCTATATCTGAAACTATGACATTAAGCGTACCAAATTTTAATTCCAGTTTTAAAATAAGTGCTTAGTTAACATTTTTCTTTTTTATATCAGTGATTTCAAATGAGCATATAGTGTTCTATTTCCAAATTCTAACAAAAATAATAGTGATTTACTGTGTCCACTCTTTTTCAAATGGTATGAACTATGTGACCCAAAAAAATACGACCAACTGACAGGCTCAGTTCCTGTGGACAGAAAAATGTGAGTGTTAAAATAACTGTTGTGAAAAAAGACACTTTACAGATTATGTACCATAGAATCACAGAAGAGTTTGGGTTGGAAGGGACCTTTAAGGGTGATTGTCCTGCGTTTGGCTGAGCTAGAATTGGTTTCCCCTGTAGCAGCCCTCACGGTGCTGTGTTTTATGCTGGGAGCTGGCAGGGTGTTGGTAGCACCCTGGTGTTGTGGCTACTGCTGAGCAGTGCTTACATAGCACCAAGGCTCTTTCCGACATTTTTCCCCTCAGTGGGACGGGGTGGGCAAGATCTTGGGAGGGGACACAACCAGGATAGCTGACCCGAACTGACCAAAGGGATATTCCTTCCCTTGACCCTGATGAAGGGATCTCCAGCCTGACACGGCAAGGGTCAGACAGTGAATACTCCGACCAAGAAGGGGAATAGAGGGCCCCTGCCTCCAGCCAGGAGGAGGAAAGGGATTATTGGGTGTATTGGACAGTGTGGATTTGATGGTCTGGCACATCAAATCCACAGAAGTACCAGGCTTTAATCAACACCAGGGCACAGTGTACATTAATGCCATCAAGTTACAGAGGGGCAGAACCTATCTGAATCTCAGGAGTGACAGGGGGATGTCAAGAACTGTCAGTACTAGAGGCCGAGGTTAGCTTGACTGGGGACAAGTGGGAAAAACCTCCCATTGTCACTGGCCCAGAAGCCCCTTGTATCTTGGGCATTGACTATCTCAAGAGGGGATACTTCAAAGACCCAAAAGGATACCAATGGGCTTTTGGTGTGTCCAGTGTGAATACAGAAAAGGTAAAACAGTTGTCTAATCTGCCTGGCCTCTCAGAAGATCCTTTTATTGTGGGACTGTTGTAAGTTGAAGAACAACAGGTGCCAATTGCTATGAGGTCCGTGCACCGACAGCAGTATCGTACAGACCGAGACTCTCTGGCTCCCATCCAAGAACTGATTCGTCAACTGGAGAGCCAAGGTGTCATCTGTAAGACACATTCGCCTTTCAATAGCCCAATATGGCCGATGTGAACGTCTGATAGAGGGTGGAGGTTAACAGCAGACTATCGTGGCCTGAAGGAAGTGACGCCACCACTGAGTGCTGCTGTACCAGATATGTTAGAGCTTCAATATGAATATGTCAAAGGCAGCCAAGTGGTACGCGACAATCGACATTGCCAATGCATTCTTTTTAATTCCTTTGGCGGAAGAGTGCAGGTCACAGTTTGCTGTCACATGGAGGGGCATCCAGTATACCTGGAATCGACTGCCCCAGGGGTGGAAGCACAGCCCCACTATTTGTCATGGACTACTTCAAACTGCACTGGAAAAGGGTGATGCTCCTGAACATCTACAATACATTGATGACATCATTGTGTGAGACAATGAGGCAGAAGAAGTGTTCAAGAAAGGACAAAGAGTAATTGAGATTCTTCTGAGAGCTGGGTTTACCATAAAGAAAAGCAAGGTCAAGGGACCAGCACAATAGATTCAGTTCTTGGGAATAAAATGGCAAGATGGACGCCGTCATGTGCCACTGGATGTTGTTAACAAGATAGCAACTATGTCTCCACCGACCAACAAGAAGGGAAACACAAACTTTCCTAGGACTTGTGGGATTTTGGAGGATGCATATTCCAGGTTACAGTCAGCTTGTGAGCCCTCTCTATCAAGCGACACGAAAGAACAATTTTGAGTGGGGTCCTGAGCAACAACAAGCCTCTGAGCACATCAAACAAGAGATAGCTCGGGCGGTAGCTCTTGGGCCTGTTCGGACAGGACCAGCTGTGCAAAATGTACTTTACACATCAACTGGGGAGCATGGCCTCACATGGAGCCTCTGGCAGAAGATACCAGGTGAAACTCGAGGTCAACCATTAGGATTTTGGAGCTGGGGGATATCGAGGATCAGAAGCCCACTACACTCCAACTGAAAAGGAGATACTGGCAGCATATGAGGGGATTCGAGCTGCTTCAGAAGTTGTTGGTACAGAAGCACAGCTCCTCTTGGAACCATGATTGCCTGTATTACATTGGATGTTCAAAGGAAACATCCTTTCCACACACCATGCAACCAGTGCTACCTGGAGTAAATGGGTAGCATTAATCACACAACCGGCTCGACTGGGAAAACCCAACCATCCAGAGATCCTGGAAGAGATCATGGACTGGCCAGAAGGTAGAGATTTTGGAGCGTTGCCTGAGGAGGTGGCTCGTGCCCAAGAGGCACCGCCATATAACGAGTTACCAGAAGATGAGAGGCGTTATGCTCTGTTTACTGATGGATCCTGTCATGTGGTGGGAAACCATTGGAACTGGAAAGCTGCTGTGTGGAGTCCCACAAGACAAGTTGTTGAGGCCACTGAAGGAGAAGGCGAGTCATGTCAGTTTGCAGAAGTAAAAGCGATCCAACTAGCCCTAAAGATTGCTGAACGAGAAAAGTGGCCAGTACTATATCTCTACACTGACTCCTGGATGGTGGCTAATGCCCTGTGGGGGTGGCTACAGGAGTGGAAGAAGACCAATTGGCAGTGCAGAGGTAAACCCATTTGGGCTGCTGCATTGTGGCAGGACATTGCTGCCCGAGTGGAAATTGTGGCTCTAAAGGTACATCATGTAGATGCTCACATGCCCAAAAGCTGTGCCACTGAAAAACATCAGAACAATGAGCAAGCAGACAAGGCTGCCAAAATTGAAGTATCTTGGTTGGACCTGGACTAGGAGCACAAGGGTGAGCTGTTTGTAGCTCAATGGGCCCATGAAACATCAGGGCATCTCAGGAGAGAGGCAACATACAGGTGGGCTCGTGATCAAAGGGTGGACCTGACCATGGAGGCCATCTCACAGGTCACTCACGAATGTGAAACATGTTCTGCAATCAAGTGAGCCACACGAGTAAAGTCTCCCTGGAACAGAGGGCGATGGCAGAGTTTTTGATATGGTTAGGCCTGGCAGATTGACTATATTGGACCACTGCCATGAACACGCCAAGGCAAACGCTACATACTCACCATGGTAGAAACAACTACTGGTTGGCTTGAAACGTACCCTGTAAATCATGCCACTGCCCGAAATACCATCTTGGGTCTTGAAAGGCAGATTTTATGGCAACATGGTTCTCCTGAAAGAATCAAATCAGACAATGGGACACATTTTCAAAATAATCTTATTAACTCCTGGGCAAAGAAACATGGCATTGAGTGGGTGTATCACATCCCTTATTACCCACAAGCATCTGGAAAGATTGAAAGATATAATGGACTGTTGAAGACTATGTTGAGAGCATTGGACAATGGGGGATGGAAGCACTGGGATATAAATTTAGCAGAAGCCACTTGGCTAATTAACATCAGAGGATCTGTTAACCGTCCTGGTCCTGCCCAAACAAACCCCCTTCATACTGTGGGAGGAGATAAGGTCCCCGTAGTACACACAGGGAGATGGCTGGGGAAGGCAGTGTGGATTGCTCCTCCCTTGGGAAAAGGCAAGCCCACTCGTGGGATTGTCTTTGCTCAGGGACCTGGATGTACTTGGTGGGTAATGCGGGAGGATGGGACTACTCAGTGTGTGCCTCAAGGACATTTAACCTTGGGGGGAAAATAATCTGTGGGATGAGTTGTATGTTGCAGGAAGTGATGGAGGAAGTAGGAATGATGAAGAGACAATCAGATACATGCAATGACGACCCAAACCTAGCCGGTGCTGGAGTCCAACAGTCAAACATACTGCTCCTGTCCTGAACATCCATCTTGACAGATGGGAGCCAAGTCACTGAACATCTGAAGGAGTGAAGGAAGCTTATGGAATGGATAAATGAATACTATGTGGGACCTGGGCATGACATAAATGGTATGGAATATGGGGTGGAGACTGTATTGGGTCTGGCTTAGCTGGAATTGGTTTCCCCTATAGCAGTCCTCACGCTGCTGCTTTTTATGTTGGTAGCACCCTGGTGTTGTGGCTACTGCTGAGCAGTGCTTACACAGCACCAAGGCTCTTTCTGACATTTTTCCCCCCAGTGGGACAGGGTGGGCAAGATCTTGGCAGGGGACACAGCCAGGACAGCTGACCCAAACTGACCAAAGGGATATTCCAGACCATGTGACGTCTGCTCAGTACAAAGCTGGGAGAAAGGAGGAAGGGGGTGGGGTCACCCTTGGTCCTCCGAGGCAACCACTACGCGTATGGGAGCCCTGATCCTGAGAAGGGCCGACAGCGCCTCTTCATGGGAAGGAGAGAATAAATCTGTTTTTTTTTATTTTTGCTTCCACGTGCAGACCTTTGCTTTGCTTTGCTTATATTAAAACTTCTTTTGTTTTACCCACAAGGGTTGGTCTATCTTGTTTTCTTTCTCCTCTTTGCCCTGTTGAGTAAACAAGCGGAAAGGGGGGAGAGTGATAGAGCGACTTGGTGGATACCTGGCATTTAGCCAGTCAAACCACCACAGTGATATAGTCCAACCACCCTGTAATGAGCAAGAACATCTTCAACTAGTTCAGGTTACTCAGAGCCCCATCCAACCTGACCTTGAATTTTTCCAGGAATGGCACATCTACCACCAATGTGGGGCAACAAGTTCCAATGTTTCACCACCCTTATATTTCTTTATATCTAGTCCGAATTTGCCCTCTTTCAGTATAAAATCATTACCCCTTGTCCTATCACAATGGTACCTACTAAATGTCTGTCCCTATCTTTCTTTAAGTATTAAAAGGGCACTATAAGGTCTCCCCAGAGCTTTCTCTTCTGCAGGCTGAACCCAAACTGTCTCAATCTGTACTCACAGGCAAGGTGCTCCAGCCCCTGATAATCATTCTGGCTTCTTCTGGACCCATTCAAGCAGGTCTGTGTCTTTGTTATGTTGGGGACCCCAGAGCTGGACACAGTACTGAAGGTGGGCTCTCATGAGAGCAGAGTAGATGGGGGAGAGTCACCTCCCTCTACCTGCTGGCCATGCTTATCTTGATGCAGCTCAGGACACAGTTGGATTTCTGGGCTGTGAGCACACATTACTGGCTCATGTCCAGCTTTTCATCTGCCAGTACCCTCAAGTACTTCTCGACAGGGTTGCTCTCAATCCCTTGATCACCCAGCCTGTACTGGTATTGGGGGTTGCCCCAACCCAGGTGTAGAACCTTGCAATGTATTGCTACAATTCACAATTACAAATGTTAAGATTAAGAAAATAAATTGCATTACTAAGGAAACTTATTCCTAATTTATTGGATGGTATTTGAAAGTATCTACTCTACCAATACTGAAGCAATTAAAAAATAAAATTAGGTGATTATAAGTGGATTTTTCTAGGAGGGAATTTTAGGAGTTACAATTGCATTTGACAATGCACTGCAAAACTGGATCACTACTTTACAAATTTAGTGTAAAAATTGGAGTTCTTCTGGGACTGAAGTTTATTATTTAAATTTTTGCTTTATTAATTTCCCACATTTAAAATCAGAAACATATAATAAAAATGTACATTTCCATCAATAGCAAAGCCAGCTAAGTATAACAAATTCATATTCTTGGAAGGAACATTTTCAGTTAACATTTACTGCTTTAACAGCCTTTAATATTCTGGAAATCTTTTTAATTCTGCTGCACAGATGAAAAAAACTTTTGTTTTGATCCAGGTGCTCAAAAGACAAGAATTGCTATATTATTACAGACTTTTTAAGGTAGTATTAATTTTATCACTATGTAAGGATTCTCACTTTGAAAAATTTTTCTGTGACATTTGAATTGATACGCTCTTTGAAAGTCCTCAGAATTTTCATGTTTGTATTGGTGAATTCAGTCCCCAAAGGAGATACTCACAATTTGTTTTGCAATTAATCATCTTCTGTTAAAATAATATCTGCATAAAATTAATGGCAGTTCTTATATAAATCATAGCATGCAAATACCTTCTGAATACTACCACTGCAAAATGGAATTATACTATTGATTTTTCAGTCTGTCAGATTAGTAGGACACAGTTCAAATAAGCTCTAATTGAAGTCAAGAAAAGGATAAATCTATTCAAGTATCAAGAGTAAAACAAAATACTGATTTAGTAGAACAACAAATTAACAAGCTAGGGGACCTGTCTGTAGATCACATTTCATATAAGATTAATTCCTGGTGTTCCAGAATGGATTGAAACATGCAATTACAAAAATTAGCAGCAATTTTGCCTCCTACCAGGATTCAAGAGTGAGAAACTTACTTTATGAAATGATTGCTTCCAAGAGAATTGTGAAAATAAATTCAAAGATGAAGAAGTATATAAAGAAGCTGCAGAAATTTAAGGTTCTTTCTTTGCCACTTGCCTGACAGTACATATCAATGATATCTTCTGAGCTTAGGAAGCTTTTAAAAAATATTTCTAAGTCATACCAGTCTCCTGAAAACTTAATTCGCACTTCTTAAAAGGACATTATCTAAGGACACAATCAAAAGAAAAAAGCCATAATAGAATCAAATAGTACACACATCACTAGATTCTTGCATGGCAGTCAGGATGGATGTTCACATTTTACCTATTTGTTTGGGGAAAAAAAAATAATTATTATTTGAATAGGTGTAACTGAAGGAAATCTGTCCAAAGGATTCATAAGTTATTAAGAAACTCCCACTGACACATACTATATATATAACAACAAAAATAGGTAACAATTATTTGTCTGAAATGTACAAGGGCAGAATTTCTGATTTTTTAATCCACTTTGTCCAGAGGTTGAAGGTAACATGAGAGGCCTTACATTGTATGTGTTTTAGAAGAAAAAAACACCATCACCACCACCAAATAATTTGTATGACTTCGTCTCCTTCCTTGCCCTTTACAGAAATAACAAAGAAAAACTAGTATGCTCTTTTATTTTATTTTTTTTCCATATGTATAAATCTTGTAGAAAGTAGGCTGTGTGATGTTTATGCCCTTACTTCACAAAGCGTGTACCTGAGGCAACCTAATGTGGATTCAGTATTTCAAATAGTCAAATGACTGTTGTGGGTTTTTTTTTGTTGTTGGTTTTTTTTTTTGTTTTGTTTTGTTTTGTTTTGTTATGTTTTAATTTACATCAGAATAATTCATTTTTAGTGCAAAAGAACAATGTCATTCCAGCTGAGAGGAGTGCAGAAAATCTTGGCAGAAAAGAGATATCTTATTACTATTTTGTCGCCAGAGTAAAGACTTGAAATATTTTTTCTTTGATGTGGGATCTTATTTTTCTTACCTTTCTTATAAGCAAATCTACTGACTTTTTCATTTGATTACTTAATAACAGGTTAAGTATGTAAAGTTGAGAGGAAGATCAACTCTACTCACTACTATACAGTACATATATGTAGATCTATGCATTTTTGTCTCCTGTTAGCTGATTAGACTGCATGCACAATACTGCAAAATCAACACTCCCCACATCTGCAGGCATTCAATCTCTGAAGACTGTATACTCACTTTACTTACTTCTTTTTTATGCAACTAGCAAAAATTCCAAGATATTTTATTTCAGATTTAAGTGAATTTAGCAAACACTTCCAGGCAGGTGAATGCCATGTATCACATATTTGCCATCAGTATCCTGGTTGTTTTCGATCCAGATAAAGCTCAAGAAATGTGAGATAAAATAAATGGTGCTTCATAGCTTTTTTTCTGTACATTGTTCTTCTGTTCCAGTTTAAACGGGAGGAAAAAGTACTGAGAAACTAAAATCAGCTATTAAAAAAAATATTGCAAA